ATATATATATATATACTAACTATACGTAGGTATGATTTTAAAATATAAAAAGTTGGTTAATTGAAAACATGATACAAACATATATTCATTTAGCGAAATAAATACAAAATTTACTTACTTAATCATATCTTATTTCAACTAACAAGTGTGCAAAGAAAAAAAAATTACAAATGGCACTATTTTCTAAAAAGAAACATTTTAGAGGGCTAAATTATATTGACATATGTAAAGAGAGAATTTAAAGAACGTAAGATTTTGGTTTTCAACATTACATAATAATAATTAAATTACACATTTTATATCTATTTCTCATATATTTCTATTCTGAAAACAAAATAACTAAACATTTACTTTTATGTTCTACCTATTTTTTTTCTTTATTTTCATTCTTTCTAATTTTCTTTTCAAAACCTTAACATGGTTAATAATCGTTTTGGTCACTATCCTTGATTGAATAAAAGCTTATGAAGTCCTGTTAGAAACATAAATGTCATAGCTTATTCCGACTAAAATCAGTTTTAATGACTCCTGAAAACAAAAATAGAAATAAGAGATTTATTTAGTTATTTCTTTGTCAATATATATGATAAATTAAATAGTTTCAACTTTATTATCAACTTTATTAACCCTATGCAGGATTGGCCATGTACGTCAAACAAAACCATAATGTTTTGTGGGGGTCTCTTGTTGTCTTTCTACAAAATTCAGTTTTTTAAAGTGGAGTGGGTTATTTGAGTCATTTTTCCATCAAAATGTCAGTACCAAAATTTCAATTTGTTAAAAATACAATAGATGAAAATTTTAACATGATATTTGTTGTACCACTGATTAGAGTGCTGGGTGAAGAAATGTAAGAACTTACATTTTGCAGCTGAATTTATTGTAATATTTGTGGGAAAAGTACATGATCAAATTGTTAGTTACATTTGTCTTTACCACAAATAGCATCTTAACCACATAAGGCACCTTGCAAAGAAGTTTCATAGCACAATGTAATAAATGCGCTCTGTAGTGATTTCAAACCACAAGTTTTCATTTACAGAACGTGGATGTTATAAAATAACTGTTGAATAGGTTTGGAACAAATACGATAAGATTGTTGTGCAGTCTCCAGATTCAAATCCAGTATTGTGATCAATAAAGAAAGGAACCTGTAGAGGACAACTTTATTCATACAAGGATGTATTGATAAACCATTAAATGATCCAAAAAGAAAACATCAATCAAGATATAAATAAAAACTTCACCCACTACTATTTTGCTTTTATACTTATAATTATTATTATTATTATATAGCGAGGAGATTTTAACAGTTTCATAGCTTGTTATACATGTTCAGGTATTTAATTATCAAAATCTCAGTTGCTGATTTCCCATAGCTTTGTATGTACTACACAAAATTCTAACCTCTTTAGATCCAGAAGCATTCAAGAGTAACTTCATTCGATGAGAGCCTTCTCCCACGTTTTGAAGAATGTAAGGAAGTTCCAATTCACATAATGCCTCACGGACTATTCGAGCATTCTGAAAAATGGAATTTCAAATCTATGAATTTAGCAAAAGAAATATGTCCAATAACTTAGTGGAATAGTATGAGTATGATGCTTGAAAATTGCTTCACAAATTGGAGAGAAGCATTATCTTACAGGATTATTTTCATATGAGAAGAGTTCCAACTTTCCTGGAGGAGGGTCAGGCCTGGAGTAAACCCACCGAGTCATTCCTCTACCTGCTCGAAGTATTGTCGGCATCCATCCAGTAAAAACAGTGCTGCACAGGAATGGGATGTAAATAACACATTAATTTGAAAGTCTCTCTTCGTCGAAAGACAATGGTACTTTGACACCGGAATTTCTTTTACAATTTCTTTTACACCCATTTGACACTATCCCTCGTTACCCTTCCTTCACTCTCTCTTTTTCTTTAGAAATACAAAAGTTATTTTTTGTTAAAACCATTTTACCTCCATGAAGGTTGTCAAAAAACTTTTTCCTAATATATGGAACAACGCTCAGCAGACATCCTTTGGCCTCTTTCACAAGACTCAATAATCATTTGTATATGTTTCATTACTCCTTAACAAAATCACATTCTGATTCACCCCAAGATGAGTAACATACTATTCGTGTCACAGTATACAATTTATTAAATGCTAAGATGCTTTAATGAAAATATTACAGTAAAATATTAAGGTTCCTTTCTACGATGTGATGAATAATATTTTACATGCTCATAGAAAAAGTGATTTGCATCTAATACCTCTCCAGAAGTCCCAATGATGGACTTCTGCCTTCTCCGTATTGCTCAAACAAGTATTTTACAATATCACCTGCAGCGAGACACCAAGAATAGAGATCGATGAGGGTCACAAACAATCAGCATTAGTTTAGAGGTTGGAATTAAGTCTACAATTGCATTTACTAAATTAAATGACATAATAAAGTTCACAACAATTAAAGGATTGAAATTGAACTACTTAAAATCCTTTACTAAACACAACTGAAACAGACAAAAACGGATGTTTAGGTAAGAAAATGTAAATAGGAGTAATAAACCTTTAGCATGTGTCAATCTAAACCAGTAAAACAACTATGAAAATGGTGTTCATTTATGCCATTGCCTCTAAACAGGACAATCAGAAACCATTTGGAGAAAGAGCAGCGAGAAACTTGCTTGCTTACCACTTTCATACATAGAAATACCATTTTTTTTATCAATGAGGAAAGGAAACCTGCAATAGAACATCATTGCAGCATAAATAGAAATAGTATTTGAAAAGATAAGGACAACATCAAACTATTTCACAAGTGTTAAATATGTTGCAAGATACAAAGAAGAAACAAAAAAGTAAAAGAAAATGAAAGCTGTCTTGTAGCAATTGCTTCTTCATCAGGATTCATCAGCGTATATAATACAACAAGTATATATATTGACAAAATAGAGACATGATACTCAAGAACTGATTTAAATTTTCAAAGTTCTGTACTACTGCAAGAAAATTCATTCAAAGATTAAAGAAACAATTTATGATGGAAAGCTACGTACTGTTCTTTGCCACCTGTTCTGCTGACCACCTCTCTGTGTCTTACAGAACCCTTAGGACATGGATAGACCTATTCATGACACCAAAAAAAAAAGAAATCTTACTTGCTGGAATTTGTTTGAATATCACTAATCCAATCCAACAAACAGGAGTTCAACAAACATTGTTGAAAAGTTAGCAAACACATCAAACTCAACTCAGTAGAGAGTAGACATAGACCCCAAATTTCTAGGAGCATATCTAATTGGAAACCAAAAATAGCACTCCATTGAAACAGACAAAACTCAGCCAAGGGAAGGAGCATTGGATATTGAATGTGCTGGTAAGTGTGTGTAAAGCATTGATAGCTAACCTCTACAGAAAGATCTAGTTCAGTCAAAGCTTCCCGGACCCTTCTACAAAAGGGGCATGCCTCTGTTAAAAAATAATGTTTAAAAGATTTAAGAGTAGACAATCACAAAATTCAACGATAAAATAAAATTACAGCAATATATAACTGATAAAAAACCAAAACATGTTTCAGAATCCTAGTATGAAGGTCCAGTTGACGATAAGAATAAATAACTGCTTTTATGTGGGCACAGTGTTATTGCAATTAAGGCCAAATGGTGCTAAGCAATAGTAATAGTAATACAGTTAAAATAAATAAACTTCTGGAATGTTAATAAAATTCAATAACTAACTCTAAGAAGAAACATACGTTTTCCTATTATTAGGAATGACAGTAGCATCATAAGGGTTCTTCCTAAACCTGTTTAATGTGGAAGCGGCGTACCAAATTCAAAAAGCTGCAAACTTAAAGGAAGTTCTGAAGTGATTTCTGTGGAGATTGAACTCTCAGCTATGGATTTTTTTCCCCATGCAAACCTTGACAAGCTAGCCAAGGACGATAACGCTAGCTACCATTCATAAAAAAACACTTACAAGGTTAGTCTGATATAAGGTGCATGCAGATATAAAGAATTATTTGCACCCGCACCGTAGATACATCACAGGATTAATTGTTTTCATATAATTTCCCATATACTTCCACTACATGCATAAAAAATACTTAATGATTTTAAGGCTATCACTGCTATGACCCCTGAGAAATCACCTCGAGAGTGAAATTGCGTGGTTGAGAAGGATCCTTTCCCTGCCAGATAGAAGCAGTAAATAAATAAGACATTGAGAAATTTAAATTATAATTGGTAGAGAAAAGCATTGGAAAAGTGAATTAGTACGCATACAGATAAGAGCGTGAGTAGGGGGCAGAGAAAAGAAAGAAGGGAGGTGGGTGTGGACGATGATGGCGACGCATCTGATTTTGATTTTGCAACGATTCTGAGTCTCTGCAACGCCCAATTTCTATTCCCGCGTTGAAGGCTCTTGCTTGTGGTTGTGGTTGGAGGTGTGGAGATGAACAGTGGGAGAACGGAGCACAAAGACATGCTTATGCTGCTCTTCACCAAACTCAACTTCTGTCCCACACCGCCCAAAATATTATTTTGGTTTTAGGTTTTCATTATTTACACACTTAGTTCAAGATAATTTTTTTTTATTTATTGTTAAAATATTTATGTAATTTTATAAATGTAATATGTAGTTACATAACTTTTATTATTTGTAGAACAATTAGCAAATTGTCTGTAAAAAATAGTTTAAAATAAAATGTTTGCTGTTATTAACAAAGAATCCTTAATCACATTAAAACATAACTAAAAAGAATATTTTTAAATTAAGAATTAAAGCCTGTTAATTATGAAAAAAAGAATTCTGTACATCTTCATTTGAAGTAAAAGTTAAATTCAAATTATGATTCAGACTAGAGAAAATTGTTATTAATAATTAATATAATTAATATAATTAATAATTTTTAAGACTAAACTAAAATTGAAAAATAGATAGAGGAGATCTTTTAAAAAATATATAAATGATTAAATTTAAATTGAAAATGGTGTAGAGAAATTGTGTTTTGGAAGAACTGAACTGCACTGAAAAAATGAGAGTAGTGTCGCTGTGGCGGAAACAACCTTTGCCATTGGCATGCCGCAGTCGTACATTCGTCTCCGATTCCACTTCCAAGATCCAAATTTTCGATCGCCAACGAAAGCGCGCACAACGCGACCGAGCGGCATGGTCCACGCCCTTACACGACCCTCTCCTTCACTCAGTTTCTCAAAACCTCTTGGATCGCTTGCAGGTTAGGTTAGGTTAGGTCACATTCTTTTCCAATTTCAATTTCAATTTCAATTTCTGTTTCAGTTACAATTTCAATTCCGATTCCGATTCTCTTTCTTCAGGACTGTAAGAAGACTTTTCCAACCGCCCTATGTTTGGGAGGCTCCTTGCAACCTATCACCCGCTCTCTTTCCGCTCCTCCTGCAAACTGTAGCAATCTAACATTTCCTCACTCACTCTCCATGCCCTATCATGTTGCTATGCTTCATTTAATCATCCAGTGCTTCATCTCAGGTGGAGTGGAAAAGCTTATTGTCATGGATGCCTCCTATGATATGGTTCAAGCTTGTAGAAATGCTTACCGTGCTTCGCCCAACAATGCCGTCCAGACAGAATTTCTGGTTGCTGACGAAGAGTTCCTGCCTATCAAAGAGAGGTGATTGTAATTTTTTATTCTTATCTATTTGGATAAATGACCAAATTTGGTTTCTCATCTACTGTCTGTTCTTCTAAGAAAAAAAAGCCTGATTTAATAATTGACTATGTAAAAAATACAAATTAGATTCTGGATATTATAGCTTAAAGACTAAATGTAGTGTTAAATTGATCCTTAAAATTATGTTTCATTGACAAAATGGTCACACAAGATTTAATAGGACATCATTGTCAGACTTTTTTCACATTCAGGGACTAAATCATATTATTTGTTCTTTTAAGGACTAAAGACTTTATTGAATTGGGCTTTATCCTATTTATTTCATGTCAGGGTTTTCTGTTCTTTTATTTTTTTAAATCTATTATTGATATTGTTGTATGGTTTGCAGCTCTGTGGATTTGATTGTTAGTTGCTTGGGACTACACTGGACTAATGATCTTCCTGGAGCAATGATACAGGTGCTCTTTCCTCTTGTTTGTGGCTTCATTGAGTTTAAGTTGGTTCTTTTCTAATGGTGTCTCCATCAAAGGGTAATGTTTACAGAAAAAGCATCAAGTGATAGCAAATTGATCAGTAAATTTGTTTAGAGATTTACAATAATGGACATTTAAAATGATTGAGATTTATAAGATGAGTAAAGAAAAACAATTTAGAAAAGTTTATGCAGTTCACAGGTGCTCTAGCATGCAGTACTATAGCAGAGTAGTATTGAAGGATATCTTGTAGTTGTATGTTGTGTAACATTCTTACTTGTGATAAATAAAAGACCCACTAATAAGGAACAAATTCAACAATTAAAAAAGATAAATATTTGCTAAGATATTTCCCTTATTTGACATAATAAAATTATATCATATTTTCTTTAGTGTAATCAAATAATATGTTTAATACTTGTTCTCAAGCTAGGACATAAGTATCATGAGTCAAGTTTGTCACAAATATCATTAACATGAGACCTCTTGATAGACTTGGGAAATGTCACTTGTTCAATTGTTAGGGCTGACAAAGTCAATGATTGTGTGGCAGCTGCTGAAGAACAAACATGCTCCTAGGGCATTGCAGCTTTGGGAGAGAAAAAAAATATTCAAAGAGCATGGTAGTTGCTGGAGAGAAAAATACTGTATGTTGTGTATACACATGATTTTTCTTATTTATAGTGAAGAAAAGATTCAGTAGCAAGGAAAAAATTCATTAGTTAATAAAAAAATATTTGCTAAGATATTTCCCTGTCTAATATAATCAAATCATACAGAATTAGATAACAGAAGTTTGGAGGAGACTTCTAAACCTGAGCACTGAGCATATCAAAGAAGCAGATATAGTACAAATTGAAAAAGGATAAGAATATTTATGGCATAGAAAGGGAATAGAATATAAGAGAGGGCTATAGTAATGAGTATGAGGGAGATGATGTGAAAGATGGTCAACAATAAAAGGAGGTTATATTCAGATTGATTGATGGACCTTGTTAGGAGCGTACTTGATTAACATTGCAAAATTATTTTGTGAAGATCAAGATTAAGTTTATGCCTGAAGTATGCTTATCAGTTTATAGACTTTTCATCATGTGTAAACATTAAACTGTTTTGTTGTCCATTTTTTAAGAGAAATACATGCTAATAATACCAACTAGTTATGTAATCTCAACTGATAGATAAACTTTGGGCTCTGAATGTCACTTGAGGAGTTAATCATCTAACTTGCTTCTTGTTTCTTTATACAGTAGAGTCAAGTCATTCTTGCCATTTCTACTAGATTGTCAGATGTTAGTTGTATAGAGAAACTAAAAAGAGTGCTCTTTTTCATTCAGTTACATGTTTATGTTTTAATTCTATTTATTTTATGTTCTGTCATTTGATCATAATATGTCTCAAAGTTAAATATCACCCAGAGCAACTAATAAAAATGACGAAGAAAGGATTTCATGGCATAACATCCTCAAGTGCAGGCTTGTACCTTCTAGGGATTTTTTCCCTACCGAAGCTTCCCTCTGTCCAAGTAGTAAACCACTTTGTAACACTTAACAAATGTAATATAGTTATAATATAATGGGTCATGATATGGCTAGAAATTTTGGTACTTAAGTTGGGCTGACTTAAGGAGCGAAGATTGATCCTTGCTAAGGTAAAGAGTAATGGACTAATTTATTATGCTTTCAAAGCTACAAATACAACCCACACAATAATAGATGACATTGGAAGACATCAAACACTTATTATAGATCAATGTAATGTTTGTACAAAAGAGTATTGAAGCATTACTTGTGAGTAGGAGTGTAGGTGAGTAGGCTCCCATCTATGATGTTATGGTGCCACAATTGTGTAAGCTTCATGTGTTAAACTATAACTGTGGAGCTTTGTTGTGGAGTAGCAAGAACTTTTAAGGAAAAATATTTTTAACTGATATTGTTGTTGTTGGAATTAGTTTGGATATTTAATTGGAAGGATTTTGGAAGGATAGTTATTTGGATGCATTTATGAAAATTGAACTTTTAATGGTTACCTTTGGCTTAGGTTTGGATCTATGTTGAATTACAGTTCGCCTTTGAGTTGGGCTGTAAAATTTTAGATAGATTGAATTGCAAGATTTTGAAAATTGTGATATGTGCTGAACATGAATTCAATAAAATATTGTGTTTGAATTTTGGGATCGAGTTAAATGAACCTGATAATGGATCTTGAAATGAGTTTGGGGACCACACCCAACAGCTACTTGTTAGAATATTAGGTTTGTTAGTCTAATTGTTAGTACATAACTACTAATATTATACTATTATTAGCTATTTTTCTCTTTTTTTTTCTCATTGCCTTCTAAACATAAGAGCTACATTACTGACTGGGCATTTCCTTCTTTGCTCAACTATGTTTACATTCACGAACATCTTCAAATGATTATGAGTTAAAGAAGAAACCAAGTATATGGCTAATTTATTTGGCTTATAATTGAAATATAATTCTCAATAATGTTTGAATATTTGCTTTGCCAATATAGAGAAAACATCAATGTGCAAATCATAAGTCTTTATCCTTATCCAAATGTCACTTTTGATATCATTTTTTATTTTTTATTATCTGAGTTTTTTTTTTGATGTTTTGCAGTCTAGATTGGCATTGAAGCCTGATGGTTTATTTTTAGCAGCTATTCTTGGTGGAGAAACGTTAAAGTGACAATGCTATTTTTGTTTCTTTTAGTTTTTTTGCAACAAAAATGTATGGAGCATTTTAATGATATTTGTTTTGGTACTAGGGAGCTGAGAATAGCTTGTACGTTAGCACAGATGGAGCGTGAAGGAGGGATCAGTCCCCGAATATCACCTTTGGCACAGGCATGTCTTATTGTAAAAGTGTTTTAAATTATTTACTTATTTGTTGATCTTAAGTTTGAACCTATGAGAAATAGAGAAGATTGGGAGAGAATATCCCTTGTGTGTGTTGCATACACATAGGGTAATTATTTATATGTTAAGATATGGGCAATGCCTTACTAAAAATAATAGATAAGCCCAACAACAGAAACACACATCTTAAACATCTAACACTCCCCCTCAAGCTGGAGCATATAATATATGTCCAAGCTTGTTAACAAAGATAATCAATTTAGGTCCTGAAGGACTTAGTGAATATGTCTGCCAACTGGTTGCTTGAGTTAACAACTCAGTCTTGATATCTCGGATATATTTTTCTCGAATACATGACAATCAACTTCAATGTGTTTGGTTCTCTCATGGAAGACAGGGTTCGAGCAAATATGGAGAGCAGGCTTGATTATCACATATAAGTATCATGTGAGTGCATCTCCAATTTCAATTCAATAAGCAAATTGTTTAAGCCACACAAGCTCGCAGTAGCTGTGCCTAGCTCTAATTCTGCTTTTGCAACTAACCTTGCCACAATGCCACAACACTTTGCTTCTTACTTTTCCAAGATATCAGGTTGTACCAATAGAGACACAATATCCAGAAGTAGACCTCCTATCAGAGGGGAACCAGCCCAATCAGAATCTGAAAAACAAACAATTTTGTATCGTTGTTAGGGCCATATAGCAAACCTTTTCCAGGTGATCTTTTAAGCTATTTCAGTATGCGAACAACTGGCCTCCCCAATGGTCTTAACATGGGGGAGTTTTAGAAATGATCACCACACTAACTGCGAAAGAATGTCAGGACGCGTAACAGTAAGATAGTTTAATTTACCAAACTAGTCTGCTGTACCGTTCAGGATGAGGAAAGGGCTCCCCCTGATTTGGTTAGGTAGGAGTTTGATGTTAGGGCCATAGGTGTCTCAACAGATTTACAATTCATTTAACCCTGTTCATCCAAAAAAAAGGATTTTTTGTTTTTGTGTGGGTCTAAAACACCGCATACTTCCTCTGAGATATGACAAATACCATCATTGGATTGTGCTACTTCAATACCAAAAAGTTACCGGAGTTGCCAAATTCTTTGGTTTGAATGATTGACAAAGGTGTGTCATCTGAGAGATGACCAAGATAGTCGCTCCTGTGAGAACAATATATCGAAATACACTATTAATAGATACATCCAGCACTCGAGTGGCGATAGAACACCGAATGATCTGCTTCACTGCGAGAGGACATACAAAAATTGTTGAACAACACAAACTGAATTTACCCCAAACCAGGCCCGAGGAGGATGTTTTAGCATATTATACGGATTTGCGAAGAGACATACCAATCCAGATGGACTCCCCCTGAGCACAAAGCAGGCGGTTGCTCCATATAAATTTCTTCATGCAAATCACCATTGAGGAAAGCATTTTTTGACATCAAGTTGGTAAAGAAGGCCATTGGCGAAGAGCGCCATGGCAATGAAGAGGCGAACAGAGGTCCATTTTTTGCACTGGAGGAAAAAGTATCACCATAATCCAAACCAAAAATCTGTGTGTAGCCTTTGGGCAACAGTCGAGCTTTCAGACGATCAATCGTTGCATCAGGACCAACCTTGATAGAATACACCCACCTGCAACCAACAACAGACTTTCCAGATGGTAATTGGACCAGCTCCCAAGTTCCACTTTCCTGTAAAGCACTTATTCATCCATCATAGCTTGACGGGGGGGGGCCAACCAGGATGAGTTAAGGCATTACTCACAGGATTTGGGAATTGACACAGGAAGAAAATGGATGAGAGACAAGTATAAAAAGATGGAGAGAATCTGTTTGTAATTAAGAACAGTATAATGGGGGGAAGGGTGAGGGTAGAGCGGATCCCTTTACGGAGGGCAATAGGCAAGTCAGACTTCCGTTGCTGGAGCTGGAGGAGACAATGAGGCGGCACGGAAGTGAGTAATGAGGGAGACGATTACGGCGACTATAAACCTGAAGGGGTGGAGGTGAAGGATGATCCTGTGGTGAAGGAGAGTCTAAAGAAGGAGAAGACAAATGGGTGGAGCATCACCAGGAGGATCACATATAAGAGGAATATCAACAGTAACAGGAGGGAGAGGTACAGAACTAGAAGATAGATGTGAAAAGTAAAAGAAAGACTCATCAAAAGTGACATCAGCAGAGATAAAATGACGATTGAGGAAGGGGAAAAAGGAGAAAAAAAAACTTATAGCCCTGTTTGTACCTGGAAGAATGGAAATCCTAAGAGACCAATTTGTGAGAACGAGGAGGATAACTTATCAAACCAGGGACTAAAAATCATGAACCAAAACATGTAGGACCCAAAAACTCGAAGAGGTAATGGATGCAGAGGGTCTTGAGGAAATAAGATAGAATGCGGGGATTTGTTTCTAGGACGGAAGATGCAGCGGTGATAAGATAAAGCTGTGGAACTGCATCACCCCAAAAACGGGAGGGGTACTTGACCATGAATAAGAAGTGTACGAGTTGTTTCAATAAGGTGTATATTTTGCGCTCCGCCACCCCATTTGTTGAGGGGGTATAAGCACATTGAGGTGTGGGTGAAGAATGCCATGAGAAGCCATATAAACTGTTTTAAACGGTTTGAGAAAAGAAGTATTCACGGCAATTTATCAATACGTAAAGTTCGAAATATAGAAACCCCAAACTGGGTTTTTATTCATTGGGAAAAAAGATTTGAAAAAGGAAAACAACCTCAGAACGATTCTCATTAAAAATAACAAGTACATCTGATAGTATCAATAAAGGTAACAAAATACTGAAACCTAAAATGGACTTAACACGACTAGGTCCCAAATGTCAGGGGGGGGGGGAAATGAACCATGAAAAAGGAGACGACGACCGTTGTTGGACACTTACGAGGAAGGAACATACGAGTATGCTTCCCTAATGACACGACTCACACGACAAAATTGATAATGTGGACAAACCTTGGGACAAGTTGTTGTAGTTGGGAAGAACTGGGATAGACCGAACTGAGCATGGCAGGAACGGAGGTGATCCCATGACAACGCCAAATGTGGATAGAGCAGGGCGGAGATGATAAAGGGGCCATGGAGACTCAAATCCTTGTGCCAATCATGTGTTTCGAACTCCGGTGCCGCAACCAAACAGAATCTTTAGTAAACGAAATACACAAGGTAAGAGTACGAGTTAAACGACTAAATGGACAATAAGTGAAGGGAACCCAGGCACTAAAGTACATGATCATGGATATGGATGGAAAAATATGAACAGTACCAAATTACCATGAGATGAGACTCTAAGACCCATCAGCCATTGTTACTGAGGGTAAATTATTCGCGACATGACAAGGAAGAAAACAAGGACTTGTTACCAGTGCTGATATGATCTGTGGCGCCGAGTAAGGACCAAGGTCCAAAAGGGAGTGAGTAGACCAACAAAGGTGTACCTGTACGTTGCAACAGATGCAGGGATGTAGTGAACCAGAGTTGCTGATGCATCATAATACCATTTGATAGAATTCGTATTTAAAGATTGCAGGTTTGCACGATATTAGATGAAGTAGGATGGTCTGCAAGACGGTGATCGGGGGAGGTGGGATCAGAATTTGCCCATTGCTTACAGGTCGAGGAGGGAGCCATGGAGAGCATAACATCTATCAATTTTGTGGCCTAGCTTGCCACAGTGGTCACATTTTGGATGTCCTTTACTTGGGCTTGCGGAGACCGACTTCGATTCATCACGTTGAGCAGCCATACACAGAGGAATCATCAGTATGAGGGGAGTCTCAGTGACGGGTTTGCTCGGTATACGCCAAAAGAGCAAGAACAAGTAGAAGTAAAGTTGGGTATGCAGGAGAACCAAAATCTGATCACGGACATGAAAAAAGAAACCATCATCAGAGAGGTCCGTATTCGTTTATAATGACAAAAACAGAGAAACTTTGCTCCTGTTCCAAGGCTTCAGCAAGGAGTGGGAAGCAGGAGGTAAAAAAATATATCATAAAGTCATGAGAAGGGCATGAATTTTAACCAATATATTCTGCCATAGTAGGACCAGGATTGCGCGGACCAAGAACAGTTAATAGGGTCCTGACAAACACCATAAAGACGCTGAGTGTCATTGGTGTTATAACAACTTCGCTTGTGCCCATACTCTTGACATGTTTCAAGGATCGAAAACACATTTGTTTCAGTGAGGAGTGTGGTGGACTTATAACAATGCACTAACTGAGCCTCAATTTTCATCCAGCGGGAAAGTGTCATCTATGGGAGCAGGTAGTACCATTTTGGTAATATGATCTAAGACCCTTGACTCTTCAACAAAGTTGATGTCGGCAACGCCCATGTTGCATATTTTGTGCCATCTAACTTGTCATGACCAGGTACATTCACATAATTGGTATATATGAGGATCAGGTAAGATGAGCCACAAAGAGGTGTTTTGTAGACGATGAAGACGCCCATAGGGAAGGAGAAACCCTAAAATCAAGTGCTCCGATTTTGACCGCCGCAACGACCACACATCCAGAAAGAGGGCGAGGAGGCAGTCGGAGGGTGCTGATCGGCGACTGGAAAGACTCGGAGCGAGACCGTGAGGCGGCAGCGGCCGGCAGGGCGACTCTTGCGGCGCGCGTGGAGGCGCTTGGAGGTCGTTCGCAGCAGATCTCGACGTACGGTGGTCGCCCGGCCGAAGACGATTCCGATTGATGTGGTTCCCGGTGATTCTGGAACTCCGGCGGACGGCGGCGGCGCGGCAGGCGCGGGCGGGCGGCGGACGGCGGCGCACGCAGACGGCCACGCGCGGCAGTAGGGGTGCCGGGAAGACCGTGGAGTTGATGGAACTATTCCTGTGCTCTGATACCATATTGGAGAAATAGAGAAGATTGGGAGAAATATCCCTTGTGTGTGTTGCATACACATAGGGTAATTTATTTATTGTAAGATATGGCCAATGCCCTTTAATACATAATAGAATAAGCCCAAATAACAGAAACACAAATTTAACATCTAACAGAAACCTAATTCAATTCAACAAAATTAGTTTGCAAAATAGGGTTTGCATCCTAATAAACTAATATACTGTAATGTGGTCATATCTCTAATAGATGTGGAATTTCTAACACCTTCTCATGCGAAGACTGAACATCTCAAGTATGAGAGTAGATATTTGTAGGATATCCAATAGAGGATGACATGATAGACTCAACAAACCTTGTTATGATGGATTTTGGTACCATCTTAGAAAATGAATTCTAAGCCACTTAATCCTATAAAAATAGCTTGCAAGGTGAGCATTCATCAACATACTATAATTTGATCATATATTAAATTAATGTGGGATCTTTAGTAATTAACATCACCTTTATTTTGAATGAATGCTTCACTATCACTTTTGAATAGGATCATGTGGTTTCATGTTACTTGTTTTTAGAATTTGGGTTTAGATTTAACTCAACTCGAAAACTCTATTCATGGGGTGGGGTTGCTCCTCACTGTATATGTTATTTCGACACTTATTCTAGTTAAAGTAAGACTTGAGTTTTTCATGATTAACAAGTTCATCCCCAACACTTTTGGGTTTTGTACTAACTAATACGGTAGGTGGTTCAATACTGGATCTAAGATATACTCATACTATCTTAGAATTTAACCTTAGAGTCTAACTCAATTTTATAAAAACAAGTTGTAAGATGAGAATTGTTTAAACTTTGTAAGCTTTATTTATGTCATAACTTTAGTCTATGTGAGACTAAATTAACACCCTTGAAGCTACAATTAATGCAGCTCCCAAACAGACCCCAACTAAGGTGGGCTATAGGTGACCATGCTTAAGGTGGATTTCTAACAGTAATCATTGTTTGTTGGCAATTCAATAATGAATTCCATTATTTTGTTTGAAAGTAACTCCCTGTCATTTTTGGTGGTTAATTTGAAGCAAGTAGGCCTGTTTAAAATATCAGTTAGTTATTCTGGATTGTTTTAACTTTAATGCTTATAATGAAGACTTGTACTTTTGTTCAAATGGAAAAACAAAGATGGAATTGAGAAGTCCTTTTGTCATCCATTTTCAGGTTCGAGATGCTGGAAATCTTTTGACCAGGGCCGGTTTCACCCTTCCAGGTGTTGATGTTGATGAGTACATAGTTAAATATGAAAGTGGTGAGAATCTTTATTTGGTTTAATAAATGAATTATTCTACATGCACGATTTGAGATAAATTAGTTATGACTTCTTTTTAAATTTTTTTAGATATATTCTTCTAAAGTTTAGAATTTCAGTAATGGTAAATGACCAAAGGAAGATTTTTGCTGAGATGAGCATGGTGACATTTTATTGCTTACTGATAGGGTGTAGGAAGTAAACGCCACAAAAACCATATCACCTCACAACAATCTGGTGGCTAAAAGAATATCCACTTCTAGAATAATAGAATTTCCGCTTGATCAAGAGGAGTGAAGATGCTTGGAATTTTTTCACCGAAAATGTTCAAAGGATGAGAGTGAGGGAGGGCTAGCAAAAACTGTTGGTTGCCTTTTTCATAATTGAATTTGCATTTTAAACGTGTATGAATTGTTTCAAGTTGTTACTTGTTTATTGAATAATGTGAATCTCTTACCTTTGTGATACAATTTTCGTAATGCTGATCCTTGTCTATGTTCTGTGCAGCTATAGAGCTTATAGAACATCTCCGTGCAATGGGTGAAACAAATGCTCTTTCGCAAATGAACAATGTAAATTCCCTTTATCAAATGTTGAGCCGTGGATGTTGGATTACATTTTTGAAAAAGGTTTGTGCATATTTGAACAGATCCTAAAGAGAGACACTGCTTTAGCAACTGCAGCTATTTATGATTCAATGTTTTCTTCCGAAGACGGAACTGTACCTGCAACCTTCCAGGTAATAAAAATAATGTAGTTTATGTCTAAACTGTCTCTTATGAAAGATAAAGTTGAAATCATAATTTACAACTAATTATGAAAGATAGATGTGACATGTTGTATGGTCATTCTGCCTTCTCAGGTTATATACATGACGGGTTGGAGGGAACATCCTTCCCAGCAGAAAGCAAAACGAAGGGGATCAGCCACTATATCTTTCAATGATATTCAGAAGCAATTTGGAAGCCAAAGTTGATTGCCACTTCCCCTTGATTTTGACTATTCATATTTAAGTTTAATTGATGTATTTAGGGCATTATTTGTGTGGTAACTCATGCATAGTTACCGTATACCAGGTCTGTATCTGGTACTACATATTGGTTAAACATTTTGATGAGCCAATTTCTTATGGTTTTATTTACTTTATTGTGTATATTTTTATATTTTGTAGTAACTATCCAAATGTTGGGAAACGTTGACACATACATTTCACATGTTATTTCATTAAAATTTTACTATAGTTTATAAAACATAACTTAGAATAGAGAAATGTAAATATATTCAACAATTTATAGTTGCTACGGTGATATACATTGAATATGTATAAGTCATTAGCAATCCTCCCAAACACAAGAGTCGGATATAATTATAATGATTTTTATATGGTTATTAGTTTTAGAATTTTATTAACATATGGTTTTAAAATCTAAAACATTTAAAATAAGTTTCATTAAATATTTTGATACTGTTAAATAATTTATTATAATTAAGTGTTTTAAAAATCGATAAACGATTATGAAAAGCTGAAGTCTTCGTTCATGATTATGAAAAGCTGAAGTCTTCGTTCATGATTATGAAATATGATGTATATTCATTTTTTAACAATTAATAATCCTTTTAAAGAGTAATATTTAATATCTGGCTAGGATTTATCTAACTTTATCTATGATTATTGTATAACTTTTTTTATCATATTAAGTTCTTCGTTATTTTGTATGAACTTCAAGCTGTACCGAAATTACCATTGACACCTTTCATATAAAATATTCAAAAAAGACAAATTCCGACAGCATTTTTTTTATATTCACTTTCACCACATTTGTTAACAACAAAACTGAGAAGTAAAACATATCGTGTTATAAAATAACAACTCATGTTTTGCTTTTTTATCCTTACTTATAATAAAAGCTAAGTATTGTTCAATTAATTAAAATATATAATTTTAGTAATAATAACGATAAGTATTGTTGTTGTTATTAGTTTCGAATTTAATTTACCTTTTCTACTTACCACTCGATCAATTCAATCTTAGATGGTCGATCATTCAACAACGAAATGACTGATAGGTGAAGAACAATAAGTAATTGGTAATTAATATGAACAATTAATAAGAATAATAGTTATTAATTAGAAATTAATAAGAATAATAAAAGTCATTTATTGGTAATTAATGGGTCAAACCTAATTGTAAACATAAGATTTATAATTACTTTGGACAACTCATCTTTACCGTATAATTATTGAAAAAAAATCATTGACTTAAGCAGTATAGTGTCCTTGACAGGTACCCACTCACTTGGCTAGGCAAGAAGGAGAGAAAGCAAATAGTGTAACTCAGATGATGGAGGATCATTAGGGAGCCCATCCGGTCTTCAAGACAGCTTGGAGTGTTTTGAGTAAGGGACCTCAACCCCCTAACCCAAAACATTTTGGCGCCCACTGTGGGACCGAGCGACATCCCCCTGTAGCCACAAGGAACCAAACGAGCGGTATAATGGAAAACAATCACTTAGTTGTTTGGCCCCAGCACTATCGCTGTGTAATGTGCTCAACCTTGGCCTAATGATCTTGCATAACTCTGTATGTAACAACTTGCCGCATAACTGAGCATTGTGTCTTTGTTCAAACCTTGAAAGTGTTAAGATAAACTTAAATTTTAGGGATTCATTAAAATCTTATTTTAGTAGTTTTGAGTTTAGTAATATTTGGTTTGATTTTGATAAAGATAAAATAGATATAGGTAGTTTTGATTTTCCATTTATTTAGGAGAGTATTATTTTATTTTATTGATATAAGATAAAGATAGATTAAGTAGATTTTATTTTAAGTTAGTTGATATTTTATTGTTAGCTTTTATTATTTGTATTTGGCCCAAGGCCCTATTTGCACCTATTTAAAGGTTGCTAAGGTTCAATGAAAAGTAACCACAGTGAATTGAAGAGTCAAATTATTTGTGTGGGTCACTTTTTTTTAATAGAAAGCGTAGCCAATCATCTTGGATGTTCAGCCTGATCACAGCCTAATATGGCTATAATTTTAATCGGTCAGCTTGATATGGTGTTTCATTGTCTTTGCTTGGTCATGAATCAATGTCGAGATCCAACGGTCCCGTCTTCAACAACACAACTTACCCCCAAGCAAGGCTATCTTAGGCCTTGAGCTTTTTTCCCATTTGGCACCCACCGGACAATCTCAAGCTTATATTTGTTCGGTTCCTACTAAACAGTTGATCATCGGTTTCTACCTCGTTTCTTGGTCTTGTCCAAGTGTCAACTGTTCACCTTATGCATCAACCGATTGATCTCATGCGTTTGACATCAAACTTGATCTTGACTTGGCATTCACAACCAGATGTGCTTTCCATATTAACGACCATGCTTCATTTTTGCCTAATTAGGCTCAATATCAATGGTGCAGTCACCTCTGCCCTCAAGTCTTGGTTGTTCGGGCATCAACCACTCAACCCTAACATTGCAGTTTCGTCCAAAGCCATAACCTAGTCCAATACCTGCAAACCTGACTTTTGTTGGGCTTCAACAACATGGTCATTACTTGCCTCAAGCTTTGATAATCTCTTTCCCCAAGGTCCTATCATCGGCACAATAATTTGAAGTTCTTTCGAAACCCTCTCAAAGAAGGAAACTTGAAATCTCACACTTGGTTTCCATCGAGACCCAAAAAGCATGGCCACCGCTCGACACGACCACAAGGTTGAGAGCCTTGGTATCAAACAATCTTCGACTTCATCCTCAAGTCTTGGGGTCAAAGGGTCAATTGTACAACAACCTCCATCCAAGTTTGTGGCTCCTTTTTTATACCTCGATAGGGTAACTTGGCCTTTTCCAACTTATCTCAAGTAGTGACCATTTGGCCTCAACGTATCCTAGTGCGACTGTCTCAACATGGACTGACTCCAATGTTAACTACTCAGCCACAACGTGTTAGCCTTCTTGCCTCACGATTTTGGCCATTCATGTGGACCATTTTTCTTTTGTACAGGGATAGCCCGAGCAGACCTTAATCTCTCTCTCGCTCTGTTAATTGGACCGCATAGGTTCAGTCTTGTCAAGCTCCAATGGCTTGGCTCTCGTTTGAGCCTCAACTGGCCTTCAAACGTTCAACCGAAACCGTTCGGTCTCACTATCTTAGGCTATAAGGTCGGATAGGCAAGCTAGCTCTCTGGCCTCATAGCCTAAGCTAACTTGATATTCACTGTTTAACCTCGTAAATGAATTATTAGCTTGATTGGATACACTTTTTTTGACCGTTCAAATTTGAATTTCTCCTTTTCTTCTATGCAGATGACAGGACCCTACATACAAGCACTTGGCCAAATTTGAGCAATCAGCCGGTAGGGAATGTTTTTCAACTCCGTTCGAGCCCTTCAAGGGTGGTCAGAGAACGTTTTTCAACCCTTGACATACCTTCAACCAGCCAACATGGAATGTTTTTCAAATCTTGTTGAGCCCTTCATGGGTGGTCAGGGAATGTTTTTCAACTCCTGCCCAATCCTTCACGAGTGGTCAGGGAACTTTTTCAACTCTTGACTTACCTTTAACCAGCCGACAATGAATGTTTTTTAACTCCTGTCGAGCCCTTCACGGGTGGTTAATGAACATTTTTCAACTCTTGACTTACCTTGAACCAGTCGGTAGGGAATGTTTTTCAACTCCTGCCAAGCCCTCTATGGGTGGTCAGAGAACATTTTTCAAATTCAAGAATTACCTTCAATAACTTATAGAGAACGCTTTTTAACTTCGTCCTTACTTACAACGAGTGGTCAATGAAGCTTAGGATCTTGGTCAACGTACAACAACACACAAAGACAAGTGCTGAAGGTAAAACTAATCTGCATATATGAAGCAAACTATCTAAAACCCCTTCGCACATTATATCATGCTTGGGCTTGGGAAGCTTGTGTACTGTATGACCACCCGATCAGCTAAGAATCGGACGATCGACCATCCAACAACGAAATGACCGACCAGTCAGAAACAATAATTAATTGATAATAAATATGAACAATTAATAAAAGTAACACTCATTAATTGTAAATTAATAGGAATAATGAAAGTCATTAATTGGTAATTAATAAATGAGGCTTAATTTATTATAAGATTATAAAGGAAAATCATAATTACTTTGGATGACTCATCTTTACCGTATAATTATTGAGAAAAATCATGAGTATCAGAGTGACTTTAACAGGTACCAACTCACACGGCTAGGACAAGAAAGAGAGAGCGAATAACATAAGTCGGATGATGAGGATCATTAGAGAACTCATCCCGTCTTCAGGACAACTTAGAGTGTTTTGAGTAAGGGATCTCAACCCCCTAACCCGAAACACATTTTTTTTAAAAATTATTTGTTTGTAAAAAGAATTTATTATAATAGTATTTTTAATATTTTAACTATTAATATAAGTATTTTTATATCAAAATCATATAATAAATAGCATATTATTACCTAATATGAAATGATAGTATTTATTTATAAAAATTATGTACTAAGTGATTTAGCTTTTTATTAATTACAATTAGGTTCACCAAATTCAATTATATTTGATAAAAACTATTGTAAAATTTAAATCTTCATAAGCCTCTAGAGAATGAGAGAGACAAGAGATAGAGATATATAAGTTTTTGAATATAAAAGAAACAGTACAAATATGTATCCTAAAAATGGAAAAGTAAATACACTGAACAAAATTGTTTATCCTAATTAACGATCAGTTACAAATACGAATAATTTCGCAAGTTAAAACTTTTGCGAAATAGCCAACTCTATGAAAAGTACATTGCAAATTGTTGTCAAAATGTGAGAAAATAATGGTACATAACATGATTATCATCAACACACATCTTCTCTTCTATTAGGAAAATAGTTGGTAAGTCTTGGCGGAAACCACAATTGTTCGTACTCCTCCAATCGGTGCAAGAAGTGCTATGATAAGTCCAACAATGATGCTTAACTGTAACACAGTTCAAAAACATAAATCATTCTAAACATTAAACTCGTCTTTCAATCAGTTTATCAGTTAACGATCAAAAAAACATACCCATGATACCACCCAATGGAAACTCCATCTTCTAGGTTTTGTTGCCTCAAGCCATAACACACAAGGAATCTGCATCAAACTTTTCAAAATTGTTAGCTTCAGATTCAAGCATGGTTAACTTTATAACAAAA